TGGTTTTGCTTTAAATATTATGAATGTTAGAAAATTCAAATGTAGTAGGAAGGAGTTTTTTAAGATAATTTGAAAATTAGAGATAAATTTGATGTTTAATATAGTTCAGTGTTTTGGTTTTGTTGATAAGAATGAACTGTCAGCTATAAACTTCATAAAAAGTATTGAACCTTTTTCAAATGAATGGTTGCATTCTTTTAAAGAAAGTATTTTGTAAGTGTGTTCAAAGAGTGTTTTTGAGATATTAAGGTCAACATAAATATTAAATCTGTTGTCATTTTTGATTGTTACAAGAGGACTATCAGATTTGTCAATAAGAAAGTTGTAAAGGAGTTGCATATGAATAGGTGTAATTTTGAGATTTTTTGTAAATAATTCATAGTTAATAGTTTGGTAAGAGTAGTTGAGATAGAGATGGAGTCTGGTGAGATTAATTGCAATATTAATTCTATTAGGAATTGTGTATGGTGGAATGCTTTTGTAGGAAGAGAAAATGTGTTTGTAGTTGAATTGAGTAAATAGTACTTCAGTAAATGAGGCAAGAAGAGATGTAAAGGTTGAATAGAGAATATCAAATGGAATTTCAATTGAGTGGTCAATTTCAGGATTAGCTTTATATATAAAGTTAGTTAAAAAGTCTGGACATTTGCTAACTAGAGTATGAAAAAGATTTTTAAAAGTATATTTAGATTCTTTAGTTTTTTTTGGAGTTATTAGAGTTGGATTAGTTGTAACTTGAGAGTAGGATTTTGGTTTATTCTGACCAGGTTTGAAGTTGATTAAATGAGGTTTGATGAAGTCAAAGATTTTTGATGTTAATAGATTGTTGAGTTGTGTATATAGTTTCATTTCATCAGTAATTGGATATTCTGTGAACCAGTTGAGATCTTTAGAGGTATCACATATAGATTGAGGTTTTTTGTTTTTGTTAAATAAGATTTTAATTTGTTTAAGAAATTCATATTTTGCTTTTTTGTTTTTGAGAGTAAATTTGATTAGACCATAAGTGAGTTTTTGTTTAGGAGTAAGTATAAGAGATTGAGTTTGTTTAAGTTTGATTTTTATTTGATTGAAACATTCTTGGTACATGAGTCTTTCTTTGATGATTATTGCAGTTGATTCAAGAAGATATTTTTGGTCTGCAAGAACTATACAAGTAATATTTTGTAAATAGCAGATTACGTATGTGTGAGAGTGATAAAAATGACTAGCAATTGTGACTGTAGACAGGTCAATAGTTTTAGTAGAAGTAAATATAGCAGATAGAAAGAGAAGTGTAGGTGAGGTTTGAGTACTGAGTTTGATAGGAGATTAAGGTAAGAGGTTACTTTTGCGGAAGAGTTGTTTACTAAGGCTTGAGATTGGTTGTAGTAGAGTTGAAGGAGTAGGAGTTGAAGGTCTAGAAGTTTCAGAGTATCTGTATCTAAGTGAAGTGAAAGTAGTGTGATATCTTTTGCAATAGCAAGTTGCTGTACAGAATTGTTGAGGAACTTTCATAAAATGATGAAGTTTGGCTGGATCACATTCCTTAGGGTCGAAGCAAGCAGAGAGGACGCATACTTTGTCAGGCTCTGCTTCAGCAAAGCCTACGCCATGGTGGTCACTATAGTGAGCAAAGAAGTAGTCAATATTATAGGAGTCAGGAGTAGTATTGGTTGTAGTAGGCATAGTTAAAAATAGGTAACAGTTCAGTTGCAGTTAGGTTACAGTTGGGTTACAGTTAGGTTATAGTTAGATCCAAGATTTGGGTTATAGTTAGGTTACAGTTAGGTTACAGTTAGGTTCAGGATTTGGGTTACAGTTAGGTTACAAGTAGGTCCAAAATTTAGATTACAAGAGGCAGCCAAGGATTTTTCCAAAGAGCCTGTAGATTTTCCAGAAGTTGTGAGTGAAATTTCTGGAATTGGATGGTTTAGAGTTTGTTTAAAAAGTTGTTTTTCCAGGGCAAGCTAGTAAAATTTCCGAAATTGCCTTTGAAAAATTCTAAATTAATCTACGGGAGAGAAAAAAGCCTTTAAAAAGGTTTTTCGGAATAATTTCCTGAGTTTTGGTCCGTTTTTAATAAAACTTTTACCAAAATGATCTATACAGAGAGCTAGATCTTTTGTTATTAATAAGCAAGGTAAGTTTACTTAGTAAAATTATGAGTAAATAAGCAAAAATAGTAGAGAACTAGAATAATTAATATCTTCAGCAATATCTAGCACAAAGATATAAAACTAGGCCGTTTAGAAGTAAAATTGTCTGTAGAACAACTTTGCTTAATGGCCCAAAAGAGGTTTACTTAGTAGAATTTTAGTTATGACAAAATGTTTTTTTAGAAACTTGGTTTAAGTGATCTATAGAGAGAGTTACTAAATTGTGTCCTGTTTATAATGTTTTCAAACCAGATAACCTTCTAATATTGTTATAAAACCTATTCACTATGCATATTGGTTTTGAGAGATTTGACAGTATTGTTATTTTTTTGAACTATAGTCAACAATTGAGATAATTTGCTAGTTTAATAAATCAAGTTTAAAGTACTGAATTATTAATAAATATTCAAAGTATTGAATTATTAATAGATGATTTAAAATAAGGTTGCTGGCTGTAAGTAATAATTATGGACATTACAGATTACAACTAGGGTTGCAACCTAAATATAACTAATTCCTAAAGTTTGTAATGTGCTGTATTGCTATAAATACTATAATATTATAATTGTTGTAATAGGTTGTAATTGCCATAATAGATTGTAATTAGTTGTAATGCATATAAAATATACTAAAGAAATAAATAATTGACAAGAATATTAGTAAGAGCATCAATCTTGATATGATTAACAAGTGATCATAATAGTACACAACATTGAAAAAAGAAACGAAATAATAAATGCTACTGGCTTTTGAAAACAATCTTACAAAGTATTAACTTTAGCTATCACCAAAAAAATCATAATTTATCAATAGTTAAATAGAAAAAAAATATCTACTATAGTCTAATAGTTTTAGGTTTTCGTGAATATTAAATTATCAAAAAAAATATTGATAGAATTTTTGAATTTGTTATCATATAAGTAAAGGCTAAAATAAATAAAGATCTATAACAAATTTACTTAAGAGATCTCTTTGATACTCAATTAATAGTAAATTTCTTAAGCTAATCACTTGAGAAAGCTCTAAGTATACAAATCTGTAACACACCTTAAGGTTTGAAAAGCTTTCATCTCACTTCTCTCAGCTTTAGCCAATTGATTAATGCAATTCAGGCCATATTAGTACTCTTTAATTTAATAAATACTTGTGTTACTATTAGATCCAATAGTCAATATATCACCTTTTATAACTATTACACCTATTATAACTATTATAGCTATTACAAATTATACTATTGCGATCATTACATCTATTATGATCATTACACTAATTATAGCAAAAATTACAGCTTTAAGATAAAAGGTTGCAACTTTCCAACTCTGGAAAATCTATTACAACAGGTAACCTTAATTTAAAACTTTATAATAAATTTATTATTATTTAATAATAACTGTTGAACCTCCTAAAGCAGATTCTGCCAAAATTAATAACCTATTAAATCTGATAAAAATTAATTTATTTTTGCTATATTTTTAACTCTGATAACCTTTTAATACTAATACAAAAACTATCTACTATAAATATTAATTTTGGGAGGTTTGCCAATAGTTAAAAATTAGAATCAGTTTATTTGACTATTATGTTTAGTTGACTAAACTGATTTTAATCTTTAAGCACAGTTCTAGTATACTATCAAACCTTCTAAAACTAATATATATATAAGTAGGTTTTGTATTAACATTAGAAGGTTGCCAAGTTTAAAAATATTATAAATGATTAGATTTATATAGAAAAAACAGATTTAATAGATTATCAGATTTGATAGATTATTAATTTTAGCAGAATTAATTAAGTACTATTTATTTCTCGCAATAGTGGGAATAAGAGATAAATTTTCTCATAGTAGGAAATAAGAGTATTATTTTTTGTTTTATATGATATTATAACTATTTTATAGCTGTTTTCTAAAAGATGTAGAAAACGATTTCTATATACCTATATGAGAAATCAAAGAATCTAAAAATTCTGAATAGTAAAAATTAAAGATCTGAATAGAGCGAGTCTTGAAAATTCTAGAAATATGGAAAATATTATGAATTTTTTATAATATAGTGATCTATGCTCTTCTATATTTTTTTGAAAATAGCTATAATTAACAAATTCTGGTAATATTAGTTATCTCTCTAGAAATGTTTATTATTACTAGGGAAATAATAAATATTTCTAGAGAGGTAACTAATATTACTAGAATTTGTATTTTTTTTTGCTATTTAAAGTAGTAATTATAAGTCATAAACCCCATTATGCGATCAAATAAAAATGTAGAATAACAGTATTTATCAGACTGTTTTATAATAATAAGATTTTTAGACTAGTCTAAATTTTTGTTATATTGATAGTTAACTGTACTAAAATATCTTATCTAGTGAAGGTAATCTATATTAATTTGCAAAATTTGTAATAAATTTTAATACATACAAAATAGTAGCAAAAGAAATTATATTGTTACTAATTCAACCTGTAAGTGCATGAATTTTCAGTTTAAGTCCATAATTTTAATAATGTACATATAAAGTTTTCTACTTTGATTTACCTATTCTATGAATTGTTAACTAAGCTGTTTAGCAAATTGAAATTCTTGAAAAATTATAGGTTGTTACTAAATATGACTTGGGTGCTTTTACTGCAGATTTAGTAGATTTAATACTTCTATCAATCATTTCTAAAAATATAAATTTATTTCTGATTGTGACATTGCTTTAATTTCACGAATTCTATCATGTGCTATTTGTAAACTAACTTTTGTTGAAAGACAATTTTGTAGACAACAATTTTTTTATTTAAGTTTTGTTAAAAATGCCTTATTGTCATATTTTTCTAAGTATAGTTGCTGTTTAATATTACATTCCTTAGAGTATTGTATTAGATTTTGAAAAAAAATTTTTGAAATTCTTTAATTTGCTGTAAAGTAAAATAACTATCTAACTCATTATCTAATTGTAAATCTTTACTAGCCGAAATATAAATAATTATCTTCTTTGTTATTAAATTCATTATTCAAATTATATTTTGACTAATAAATCTCTTGTAACTAGTTTAACTCATAATTTAAATCTTCTATTTCACTATATATTTCTTCAAATATATTATTGAATAATAGATGTATATTCATATTTACATTTAAAAAAAACCAAATAAAATTGAATCTTTAAAGCTATAATATACATTTAGAATACAAATTACAGGTTTTATTCTAATACAGAGATATTATCCTGCTTCATATAACCTAAACTAAATTTTAAAATAACTTGCTAAAAAAGGGCCAAAATAATATTTCATAATAAGTAACTTCATTTGAAAAGATTAAAAAGAAATGAATAATTGTTTCTGAACAGTTTTAAACAAACTAGTTTTATAAATAGGATTTCTAAGTATTAAAAAAGATAATATCTACTTCAAATCAAGCTAAATTATTGATTGCTATTAATAATGTGTATTCTTAAAAATATTATGAATAAGTTTAATTAGGTACATATCATCAAGTAATCATAGCAATAATGAGCAAATCTTATTAAGCAGTTTTAAGTATTTTAAGTAGGATAATATCTCTATTTTAATAATACATCAAAAGCATTACATATACATGATATATTTATATTTAATTATTTAAATGCATTTAGCTACTAGAGCTAGATATTAAACTTTATTAACTGATTTTTAATAAATAAGATATAGCATAAATTAGTGCAATTGATGTATAAACTGAGATGGGATATACTCTTAGAAATAGTAACTAAATAGTGCTAGGTACCTCTGTTTTCATTGAATTTGCAATGTATAGCATCAGTTAGTGATCTCCTATACTTTATAAAGCAGACTGACTTTAATATAAAGTTTCAAGTTAGTACCAAATAGTATGAGTCACGAGAGTCAGATGTGGAAATAGATATCATTAGTAATAGGTATACACAGGATCTATATGGGATTACACATGGATAACATACGTAAAATACGTATAATTTTTTGAATTTCATGCAAGTTTTTAATATGATTCCCAATTCAGCCTAGCTAGCTCATATTAACATAATTTTAAGAAACTTATAATATAATCCTATCTTGTATATCATATGAGGATCACATACATAATTCACATCCTACATAGGATATTTTGGAAAACCATGATTTCCTATCACTAGGCATCATTTACTTTATCACTGCATAGTGCTTAATTGTTACATAGTTAATATTATATAAATCATATTAGATTATGATATTTATATAAGTTATAATATATAATAATTAACATCATGCAATAATAAAGTGCATGATGCCTATCTATAGTCAGGTATGAATCTTGTTTAATTTTTGCAGTTTGTTAATAAGATGATCTGTTACAATAGCACCTGTTCTTCCTTAAAACCATTCTGTTACAAAGTAACTACTTTAATCATAATTATAAATTCATATGCATTATTATATGATATTAAAGTCATTAGTTCCTTATATTTAATGATTGGATTTCTAACATTCCAGTTTGTACTGCTTCAACTAGATTGCAAATTTGCTGCAAGCATACTCATCATTTTGATCTGTTGATTTACATCAACTCGAAACATGTATGCATACTAGAACTAATTCAGAAGTTTTACTCTAAGAGTGCTTTTAAGCATCTTTATCAATGTGATTAGCTAGTTATATAGATTGTGTACAAGTACTATGATTAATTGAAGTAATTCTTATAGTAATTTTGTCAAAGATTTATGTTGCATAATGCAGATGTTAAATTTTAGCCAATTAGCATAACTCAATTTTTAAATAATAGTTTAGTCGAGTTAATAAATTTAGGTAACTACAAATATTAGCCTAATTTTAAACAAATAAAAAGTTTTGAACCATGTTGATCATGTTTTTTGTTGAATATTTAATTAAAGATTTTGATAGATTGTAGATGAGTTGTCTATTAAATTTTATTATTGTGTTAAAATAGTTAATACTTTAGTTACAAATATAATTTATGTTATGAATTTAATTATAAAAACAAAGCAATATATGATCTATTTGCGAAAAAAAACTATATAAAAAATTTTTTATATAGATAAGTTAATTTAATGAATCAGTAGAATCTAAGCAAATTTATTAGATAAATTTGCTTAGTTTCTACTGACCAATTTATGTTATATGATTTATATTATACAAGCCTAATTAAGGTTGGATGTTAGTTATTGTTTATCTAAATATCAATTATTATTTATTTGGATATCGATCATTGTTTATATGAGTTTATATAACTAAATACAAAAGTTATATTATCTCAAAAACTCAAATTTATCAATTTGCTTGGTTTCTACTGACACCCCCCATATCTCTAATACTTTTACCAACCACTATCAATTTAATCCTTCTCTAAATTCTTTTATAAATATACTCGACTTAATCACAATTCCTACAACTTCTCTCAAAACAAATTAAACTATCTACTTAACTAATCAAACATATCTTATCAGAAAAACTACAGCTTACTATACTAACTATATAACTTTCCAAAAATATATTATTATTTCTTAAACAGATAGAATTACCATAATCTCTTCTTCTTAATCCTTTCTAAAAATATTACTAAACCATACTCTAAACATCAAATGCAAAGTCAAAAAGAAAAATCAAATTATAAACTATTAATTAGCAATCTGAAAATTAATGATCTTATCCAAATCTCTACACAACTTTATACTCAACACCAACTCTTGCCACCTCCTACTATACAAATCTCAAATACTAAAATATCCTTAATTAAAAATACAATCAACTTATTTATATATTAGGAACAACTCATAAAACTCTATAATCTTCTCCTCAACTTTTCTCTTAATAACTTATACTTTTATACTGATACATCTATTTATCATTCAAAAATACCTTCTATTAAATCAGGTTTTGGTTGGATCCTCTCTAACAACAGCCAAATAAAATTCAATACTGCTTTAACATATACTTCCAACTCAACTAGAGCAGAAATAGAAGCAATAATCACAATTCTACTTATACTCCCAATATTTTCTCATATTTATATACACATTGACAACTTATTAGCTCTACAAATACTTAAAAATCTTTTATACAATAACAATACTCAAATCAAACAACTCAACTAGGACATAATTTATATCATAAACTCTCTAATTAATTCTAAAAATATCTTCTATACTTTTCACAAAATTAAATCTCATTCCAAAAATACTTTTCACAACATAGCAGACAAACTTGTAAAAAAAAGAACAGACAAACTACTACTTAAAATTAACCTTCAATATTTTATGCTACCTCTTTTTTTTCTTAGAACAATAATTTTATCCTCTTAAATTATGTCAATTTAACAAATCACTCTACTTTATTCAAACTCTCAATAATATAAATCAACTAAAAACATATTGAATTTACTATTAATCAATTTCAAACTAAACTTCTCTATTATCAACTTACTCTTATCTAATACTAATCTTTACTCTTTTTGTCTCAAAACTCTCTTAAATAATCTCCTAACAATAGATAATCTAAATATTCAACAATCTCATCTAAGGTCTGGCAATCTAGTAAAGTGGTTAGGTTGTCGGACCACCATGCAAGAGGTCTAGGGTTCAAATCTTACTGTCGATAGAATTGAATAATTACCTAGACATCTGTATCCAACTTACGGTAAACTCTGTCCGTTTCTGGGGGTTGTAACCCTGTAAATCATGTTGTACTAATGTTGTTTGGATATTGGAAGTGTGATGGAATGTCAGAGTTGTATTACACGAATAAATCGAGATAGGATCTACAGACAGAGGACCTGTATAGTAGAAATCCCGAGTTAGGTGAAGTAGTA